GGGGGGGGCAAAGGGGGGGATAAGGACACATATATAATACCTTAATCAATAAAAAAATAAACGCCTGATATGATTCAACACTGCCTTTGTCATTGAACACGACCCAAGCCCACCCAGGGGTTTCCCGGTAACACCAGCCCCTCCTGCCCCAGGCCCCCTCCTTGGCACCTGTCACACCGAAATCTCTCAGTCACGTGTGCATGACTGCAACTGTGTCTGCCTCCCCCACTGGACTGTAACCCGGGGGCCAGGCTGCGTCTCGTCACTGAGGGCGTATCCCCACGCTGTGCCCCACCCCAGGCTGTGCCTTTGGAGGGCCTGGTGCCTCGGTTGTGCCAGGATCGCGGGAGCCCTGCTGGCCCCTGTCGGGAGCAGACCCACTGCACCCAGACGGCTGAGCGCCAGCTTATTTTCATGAAAACAGTCTCTGGGATGATGTCATTTTAGCGAAAGCCACCTCTGGACCTTGGGAACCTAAACTGCCGTGTGGATGCCGCCACTGCAGTCGCCCACGTAGCATTTCCTTGTTTCTCCGGGCCCTGGGAGCAGTTATGTGACGTTTTCATTTCAAACGTTTCTCTCTGGTGACAGGACTTTCCCGCCACTGGAAAGAGTCTCTGCACCTTCCTCATGGCCTTACCTGAGGGCTTGCGAGCCGTCCCTGCCTGTCCTGGCTCCCTTCCCGCTGTCTGCAGGGCCCCAGGGGCTCCTGAGCCGCCTCAAGCCGCAGCTCCTGCCTCCCTCTTCCTCCGAGTTGGTCAGTGAGACCACAGCTGCCCCGGGGGGTAAACAAGCAGGAGACTAGCCCCGCCCCAGGAGCCCACGTGAAGCTCCAGGGCTGAGCCCAGACCCGGGTCAACAGCGCGGGGCCAGCTGTTACCAGGCTGTGTGATTGGTCTCGACGGGTGATTAGCAAGAGATGCTTAATGACCCAGAGCTTTCGCACAGTCTGATGGACAAGCATTGATTTCTCCGTTTGTGGCTCCACCTGTCTCTTGGAGGGAACCGCGGCCGTCAAACCACCCGGGAGCGGCAGTGGGCTCTGTCCTCAGGAGGCGGCCACGTGGGCTGGGCCCAGGATGCACGGGAAGGAGGGGCCGCAGCAGCCTGATGCCCAGCTCATCTCCTTCCTGCACAGTGTGATGCAGAGCCCACCAGCGGCCCTGAGTGTCGGCACACGGTCTCGGCCGGGCCTGACTGTGCCTGGGAATTCCGTGACCTCCGGACCCAGGAAGGTAGACGCTCGCTTCCTCCCTGCTGCCCCGGTTGCAGGTGCAGCGGCCACACTTAGGCCAGCCGGACAGAGGCGTCTGTGGTGACACGAGTAAAAATGTCAACTGTTTTGTTACACAAATCACAGTCGAAAACCCATGTGCAACTTTCACCTCCTCCAGAACATAGCTGCTAATGACCAACTGGTGACTGGAAGCCTTATCAATAACAGTCAATTAACACATATTTTGTATGTTATGTGTATTACACACTATGTTCTTGCAATAAAGTGAGGGAGAGGAAAAGAAATGTTATTAAGAAAACTGTAAGGGAGGTAGAAACTGTATTTATCAACGCTGCTAAACGCATGCCGTCTCTTTGCAAGATGAATTGTCAGTACCTACAATATCGTCTTATCAGATACAAAACCCTGAGTGTTCCATGTACCGCTGACACTAGACATCAAAAACAAACAAATGTGGGAAGGAAATTCCTACCTATTTACAGCTGCAACGCCTCGGGCATCGATGACGGAGCAGCAGCTGCGGGCGGCTTCACAGCCCAGTGCGACCCACAGGCCTGCGCGCTCGCGAACGAGGCGTTAGAGAATTGTCACGGGACACGGTGTTGCAGTCACGTTGACAGCACAGCTTCGGAAAGATTATTGCTTTTTTATGAAAAGGGACTCACCTGTGATGGCAGCTCGATACACTGTTTCTCCAGTTACAGGAAGGGGTGCATTCGGATGGTAACATAAGTCTTGGACAGGGAGGTCACATGCAACATCTGGACAGGTTCTCGTTGTTCCGGGCCCGGTGGCTTCCATGGCTGTTTCTATAGCCAGGATGCATCTCCGGGGTGTGACCCTCCCTGACCTCATGATGCTCTCTGCCAGGTTCTCTCCACAGCCCGGACCATCCTTCCAGGGAGACCGTGTGTCATGAGACTCAAAGGTCCTTTCGACCTCCCATCCAGAGGCTGAATCGGAGACACTGGGGGCAAGTCGACCACTCTGACACCTTTGATGGTGAATTTATGGGGTTCTGGGTGGCCGGGGGCGTGGTCCCATATCAGAAGGACTTTAAAAGGCAGTTCCTCCCGTGCCAGTACTGCCTGACCTCAGGGACAAAGCATCGAAGGGACCAATCCCGAAACGGGTTCCCCTTGTCCAGGCCTTCGTGTCGTCCAACCCGAAGACCGACAGCGGGGGTTTGTCTTCCCTCCTCGGCTGACACCGAGTTAGCCCTCTCTTCCTCTTTAGACCCCGGAGCGGGAGCCTGCAAATGCGCAGCTCCGCGGACATGGAGCTGAGCCACCTGGAACCTGGCACGCGTGCGCCTCGCCTGGCTCTCCTAGAATGCCAAGGCCTTTGCCACAGGGACGGTCGGCGAAGGCTGGAGCAGGGTCCTGCTGAAAATAAGCAATTTGAGTGAAGGGCGTATTGGATCTGAGGGAGAGGTCAGATGCAATAAGCACAAAGAGAGAAGACAGGCACATAAATGGAAAGCTTAGAATAATGTATAACTATTAGCAGGTTCTGAAAAATTCATTTGATCTATTCAAAAATCTCTGCGTACTGGGAGAAGGGGGGCCCCGTCCGGCTGGAATCACCAGCTCATGTTATTCATAAGCAAACGCATCAGCCTCCATCCAGCCGCACATGTTTCTATTCCGTTCGGTTCTTCTGTGCAGACCTGGGCAGCGGCAGGAGCAGGTCCTGCCTCACAGACCCCACGGAGCAGGTGAGCAGGGATGCTCATTCCGGCGCCTTCAGCCGGGGGCCCCACCCAGGTCATCATCTGCCCTAATGACACGACTGGCTGTTGAATGTAAAGTGTTAGTCATCGAGAAGCTCTGCCTAACGACGGTGCTCCGACAGCTCATTGCTGAGCCCGGTGCTCTGAGGGGACCTCACCCGAGGGGGCCGGGTGTCCCCGAGAGCAGGCAGACAGCTCGCCCCAGCTCTGGCTGCAGCCCACCCACTGTACCAGCCGGCCTCGGCCCAGGAGCCTCGTGGGCACCCTGCTCTCAGTCTGCTGACGATTAAGACAGTGGAAACACAGACACCCACGTGCACACACAATATGTTCTCGAGGATTTGAGTCCCAGCAAAACAGATTACTCCGTTTCAAATATGGTTTTTGGCCCATAAATAAAAATAAATCCTCATCTTATTCTTGTCTTTTTCTTTCAAATAATAAAAAGCATGTGACTCTCTTTGCTATGAGTATATTAAACTTTTTTTAAAAAAAAAAAGATCAAATTTTACTAGGCTCAAGGAAATCTTAAAGGATTGCTTGCTGAGGGATCTCAGAAGATTTAAAGATTAATCAGCTGTGTGTTCTTTGTGGCAGGAGACGGCTTTCTTACGGGGTAAATAAAGCTAAGAACGTGTCCTTCCAACCTACCCGGTGCTCTGGCTTCATCGCTGGTTTTTATTATCCTTTTCTTTCTGCTCTGCATGTCCGTGCACGGAACTGTGACCTGGAAAAACTTATCAGAATCCGCTTTGGAAGTAGCTGAGCACCAAGCCAGAGGCGTGGCTGAGGCGCCCCTGCAGGCAGGCCAGGTCGGCCCCGCACCCTAACACCCGCCCTCCGTGCTCTGGGCATCTTCCCGAGGCAGCTCACCTGACCTCTCTCGGCTTCCTCAGTGACCCCTCCACCTGCCTCCCATTTCTGAGTTTCTGACACGTGTCCTTAGAACAAATATGAGGGTGTGATGCCCCATCCTCAGCGGCAGCCAGCTCAGCCCTGGGCTGTCTTCCACTTTGCTGTCACCCCTTTTTAGTAAAGAGACCACCCCCCCACCCCCGTGTCAGCACTGAGAGACCCTGGTTCTGGGGCTTTCCTCTGGCCCTCCAGCATCTCACCCCAAATGCCCCTCCCCCAGCAGGGTCGGGCCACCTGCTCCTGCTCCTGGTGTCAACAAGCCCAGGTGTGGAGGCAGCAGACTGGCATCAATTAGAAGTCGTGATTGAAGCTGAACGTAATCAATTACATAATTTGAGCGATTCAGGCTTTAATTATACTAACATTGCCTCATACTCCCGGGACATTTGCAAGGATCCCCAACCAAAGGCACCTGGCTCACGCCTCCTGCTCAGGCCGCCAACGTGGACCACTCACGGCACACTCACTCACAGGCATGTGGCCTGCACACCCGCACACGCGGTCACCCTCCTGGGGGAGTGGGCGTGGAGCTGGCAGCTGCTCCGCGATCAGTGAGAGGAATTACCTGTGGCTCAGGCGGCCCGACTGCATTGCCCGGGTATTGCCCACGGCAGCTGCCGACGCCTTTCCCGTTCCACCTGTGGGTCTGAGGTTTGGGTGACCACAGGGCAGCAGGCATCTCCTTCCGGCTGCAGCTTAATCTGAGCTCCACGCAGTCGGTGTCGGGTCCTACACCTGGACGGGTCGCTGTGGGGCCGGTCGCTGCGGGGATGCTGGTAATTCCCATGTGGTTACTTTCTTGGGAAGCTCTGCAAAGTAGGACATTCGTTCTGACAGTGGCTTCTTATTCCTCGGAGTGGCCTCAGACATGGTCACACGCATTGGACCATTCGTTGCACAGCCTGGATTCCCCCCAGTGTCACTGGAGAGTAAATGTCCCCAGAACGAGGGCCCCTGAGCTCCTCAGGGGTCTCCAGGGCGTGGCCGCCCACTGTGCAGTGGACAAGGGATCTCCCTTGTGGAGGGGCCTCTGCAGGGGCACCCCTGGAGATCAGCCCTCCTGACTGCTGGGCACCTTGCTGGCCCGGCGCTCATCACACCGGTGGCCTCTCTGGCTCTGGCCGTGGGCCGTCAGGACTGCCTCCCCACGTGGCTGGATCACCATTAGCAGAAGGAGAGCTGATAGGCGCAGGCGACCTTGTTGATGGGCCCGGCGCCTGGCCCCGGGCCGTCTCTGGTCTGGGAAATGAGCTTCATCCCCTCAGGGACACAGACGGGTTCTCTCGGCCGCGCGGCGCCCAGCTGGGGTCTCATTCTCTCAACCCACCTCCCACCCGGAGCCGTGTGAAGTCCCTCTAGGAGCCAGCCTGCACTCAGAGCCTCATTGTGGTTGGCTTTCACCTGGTCCTTCCCACCCCCCTGGATGTCTGACCACCTGCTTGTTCTTGGCTCATCTGACCTTGACCCCCAGAAGCTGTGCGCTAGTGATGACTATTTGTAGGAGATGCCATCAGGGTTCTCAGGAGGGTGGCCTCTCCCTGGGCTCCAGCACCGAGTGAAGTGACCAAGCCTCCCATACCCCGGAGGGACGGTACCCAAGGCCGGCGCCCAGGCTGTGGCACTGGAAGCAGCGGGTGGATGTGGAAGCTCTCCCTAAACTCTAACACTCAGAACGAACATTCAGGGGGATAGTCCTCACATTCTATGTGAAATTCCCTGCCAGCCCCCAGGTGCCTTCAAAACTGTTGGGCCAGCAGATCACAGAGTGAATTGCTCTTCCGGCTCCAATTCCAGGACGCCCGGCTGTAGGGACAGAGCTGACGCGAATGCCGCGTGCCCTCCCTCGGAAACGCAGCCATCGGTGCTTCTTGGAGCCGCGAAGACAGGTTAGCCCACACGTCAGTGCAGCGCGCTGCTCTTCGGGACTTGTTCTGTCAGCCGGGATGTTTAGCTGAGCTCTCGGGGCTCGGGAGTGTCTGTGCTGGCTCAGCTGCCTGTGACAAAGGCCTTCATAAATAATCATGACCCGTCGTGTGGTCTTCTCGCATCCTAATAAATCACATGGACCAGGTGACAGGACCCATCGATTTGTGAAACATCGGACCGTCACCAAGTCTGCGCTCCTCGCCCGCCCCCGCCCCCCACGCCTGTAACACATCTATTCCACGGAGCTTCTCCCAGGGGGTGGAGCCAGCCCACGGGGGAACCAGGGCTCTGATCTCGCCGAGCCAGGGTTTCAGATGATGGCGTTCACAGGCGCGCAGACCCGTAGGAGACTCTGCAGAGGTGGGAGGCTGTTTGACCCTCGGATAGTCACTAAGAAATGACTCACAGGTGCAAGCTCTCACTGCAAATGGCCTGTGGTTCCCGAGGTCCCGCTGAAGCAGGTCCCAGCCCCAGTGGAATTTCTCTCCTCGGCAGAGCAACACGCCAGTGACTGAGAGACAGAAAGTGGGTGGAGCCGGCTTCACATATAGGCCCGTGGAGTGATGAGAGGAGGCATGCAGAGCGGGTGATGTTCATTGTTAGCTCGGCCTGGGGGCAGCTTGCTGAGAGCAGCCCTCTGGTGGCGATGGCACTGGGGACCCCTGTGGTCTGTGGGGGCTCGTGAGCCTCCCCGTGTGTGTATGAGTCCACGTGGGACCCAGCCCCTCTGCTCCGCCACCTGTGTAAGAGTCGTCGAACTCTGCTGATTGGCCCTTTCCATTTGGGGACGTGTGACTTTAGACTGAGCAAGATTTAGTCCCCAGGAGATTCTCTGTGCCCCTTATACGTCTACCGTTGATCTCCTTCCGCTCTGAATCCTGTAAGACGCTATCGCCTATTCACTCATTCATCCTCCCAGGAACGCAGCCTCAGCCGCCATCGCCTGGTTGACTCATGTTCTGCTCTCCCCTCGCCCTGTGTAAATGCCCCCAGGGCCCTGGGTGGTGTTTGCTGATCCCTTACAAGTCTGGGGACATCAGCCCACAGATGATGCCTGTACCTGAGTCCCTCTTCATATCGATCCCAGCCTGTTTCTGATTCCCTAAGCCCATAGCAGACGCTTCTGCTGAAAACGGGCAGCTCTGCAAAATGAGGCTCACGCCTGATCCTGAGCGGTGCTGACGGGGCGGGGTGCCGTCTCCCTCTGATCAGCACAGTCCCGACCAGAGCAGCTGCGCATCCCGTTGTCTCAACAGGAGCCCGGCCAGGGCGATGCTGATGGAATGGTGACGTGTAGGAGCTGCCCAGCCCTCACCAACGTGTCACTGCTGCCCGGAGAAACCGCTCAGCCCAGTCACGTTGAGAGGGGAGTGGCGTGCGGTGGGAGAACCTGCAGTTACATTATCTCGGACTTTGGCAGAGTTGGTTGTTGTTTAGCTGACGAGCAGCGACGTCATCCCAGTGGGTCCCCAAAGGCACAGAGGAGGAGACAGCTTATTCGTGTGGGTGGAGGAGGCAGGTGACCTGAGGGCTCCCAGGATAGCTTAGGGTTCTCCCTTCCAGGCGCCCTCCAGGCAATGGTCTGGTGGGGTGGGGCAAGGCTATGTCACCACACACACACACACACACACACACACACACACACACACACGCCCGCACACACGCGCATCTTAGAGGAGGCACAAGTGCTAAAACCCAGAGAGGCCAGGATGCTCGAGCGTGTTCGGCATGGACTTGGAGGAGCCTGTCGGCCTCCTGCTGCCCCATGGGGGGTGCCAGGCGGGTCCGTCTGCAGCTCCCTCAAAAGCGTGCAGAAGGCCGGGACAGTGCCACAGCCAGGACATGTAGCCACGTCCCGCTTGCCACATTGAATGATGTGCTTCTTTCTCACCGAAGTTCAATTCTAAAAAGTCCTTATATCAGACTGTGGGGAAGACCTGACCCTCTGCAGGGCCTCATCACAGAGACCTGAGGGGCCACAGAGCCCGGAGAGCCCCAGAGACACGTGACTACAAAGGTCGCCCGAGCCCTTTTATTGTGTCCCCCTCCTAATAGGTTCTATAACATAACTATCTTCCTTCAATTTGAAAACCATTTCCCTCGTTCACCTTTCCAGAAAAATGTAATACCCTACGGTGCCCGCTACAAAAACCATTCTGCAGGCCGGCACGCCAGCCATTCAGAAAAGAAGATTACCTATTGGAGTGGCCGGCGATGATGGGATTATTTTAGAAAAGCACTTCACAACAGATGGACAGTGTGGTCCCACGCAGCCTCGGTTTTTCTCTTTTAAAGGGACAGCTGGACGCCCGGCGGTCACGGCCAGCCAGAGAGAAAGGCGGGGCCAGAGCGCGGGGGATGAGTGATGTGCGGGGTGTCTCGGGAAGGAAGAGAGAATTTCATTTTCTCCCTTATTATCCCCATCTAAGCGTCACCAGTGGTCTGTGAAGGGGAAAATGGAGAGGACCACAGTAAATTTTCTCACCTCGCTAAAGAGATTAGGGAAGAGGCCGTGTGAGCTCCAGGCGTATATTTTTCTGGGAACTTTAAAAATTAGTTTACTGAGCAAATCTTTTAATATTCCCATTGGCTTTGCAGAGGAAGAAGAGCCAATGACTAGATCTGACAGCTGGGAAAAGTTGTCTTAATAACCCAGTGCGCGTAAGTGCCCTTCGATGCTCTGGAAAACTATAAACATGAGGTATGTTTCCACTCAGCCCCATTCTCCGCGTGTTCCATCGGCTGCTGCTAAAACCAAGGCCCGCGGGCGAGGCCGGGGCGGGGGCCACTGGGAATTAGAACCCGACTCCTCCCGATCGTGCACACGG